GGACTACCCCAAAATATGTCTATAGTGAATAAACTCTTCAATACAGCAACTTCACCCTTTGGGATGGGGAGTTATAAGGAGTTGAAGAGGGTGGGATAGATAGGTATGATAGGGAAAGGTTAGAAGTGAGGCCAGAGGGCACTGGAAGATCATGCAAACTGTAGGAAGCTATTGAAGAGGAGAAAACAGAATGAAGGAACAAATACAAGAACAGAACAACCTAACAGCAATAGGGTGGCTAGAAACTGTATTCACTTTCCTTTAAAACTAATGACAATTGAGAGAAGGAAAAGGAGAAGAAAAGAAAAAGTGAGAAAAAAAGATTCCAATTAGGACAGGAACAGGAATAAAAAGGGAGAGAAATGAAAAACAAGGTGGGAGGGAGAGAGCTAGAGAGAAAGAGAAAGAAAAGAGAAAAAAGAAAAGAGAAAAAAAGGAAAAAATTTTGAAAAGAGAACAGAAAAGAATAGATAAAAATTAGAAAAAAATATTTAAAATAAAGAGAAAAAATTACTTTGAAAATAAAAAATAAAGGTCCTCCCTCAGGGTATGTCTCTGTTGTCACTATAGGCAGCGTGGGCAGGAGTGGGCAGATATAAGTCCATTAGTCTCAGCAAACCAACAGCTGTCCCCTGAGTTTCAGGCTGATTTCTGCCTGCAAGGCCCAAGTTGAGATCTCTGACCTCCTGCAGTGTTGAACTCTGCAAGGTTCTACTGCAGGTTCCAGCTGGCCTTCCCCTGTAGATAGTCCAGGTTCCAATGTGAGGTGGTGATCCCTCCAACTTACCCACTATGGTGATCTGATGTGCCTTTCTTGCAGATTTTCTTCACTTTTCCAGTGGCCATCAATTTTCATCTAGGAGCCTCAGAGAGGCCTTCTTTCTTTTCACTTCTGTTTTATTTTCTGCAGCTCAAATGAATGTCCTTTCTGACCCACTGCCCCTCTGTGGTGTGGATCCAAGAGCTGGCTTGGCCCAGTGGCTAGAGGCAGGGGTGGGGCTGTGTTGGTGCCCTCGAGGCTCCTCAGTGCCAAAGAGGTGGGGCCCTCAGGGATCTTATTTACAAGCAAAGAAAACCAAAACAAAAACAAAGAACCCTCCCACACTCTGGTTGAATTAAGCATGAAAGAATTATTAAGCAGACAAAGGGTAGATGACATAATCTCAAGGGGGTAGAGAGTGAGGCTTTGAGAACTAGACCATTATTCTTGCAGTTGGATGCTAAATGGTGCCACTTAGAACTCTGAGATGACCACCTTGAATCATGCCCACTCTCCCTAGAACTGACGCTATCACTTTTTCCACCACTTTATCACCAGAATAGATTCTGCATAGTTTGTTATTCACTCCACCAATTATCATTTCTCAATGCAGCCTTAGGAAGAGGTATCTGATTGACAGACTTAGAGCACAATCATGCCTGACCATAAGGGAGGCTGGGATTATGAGAATCTGGTATTTTCAGACTTTGGGGGTAGGAAACAGGTAAGGAATTCAACAATATGAAGTTGGCTGAAACTGAGCAGCAACAAAGAAAAAGAATGTGGTTTCACTGTCATGTCCCTTCATGCTCTCTCAGCTTTCAATATATCATTAGGACTAAGCTTGCTATATTTCCAGGGAAAGTCCAATGAAATTAAGGCTCATAAATGTAAAAAGAGGTATGTAAAGAAGAACAAACTTCTATTCAGTGCTCTTGAGACTGAGCTGGTGGCATTGAAGCCAGTTTGCTCCTATTTTGTGTGTCACCGTGTTTTGTCTGGGTATTCCAGCTTTTCTCCTGCTGCAAACCTACCTTTTAGTTTCAACGAGTTGATTTACATTTAAATTTTTGGAAGTAGGAATAATTCATTTTAACTTTTTAAAGACTCAAAATAATGAATTATTGGATTAAAGAAGAAAGATTGTGGATGCATAATCTAAACAGATATTCCACAGTGGTGATCTGGGAACTTGCTCCACCATGGAGCTTGGCAAAAGGTTACTGCTTAACTCTTCAGGCTTCCTTATTGGAGCTTGTAGGGAACAGGGAAAGGGGACGTTACTAGAACCTCTGCAGTTAAGTCCTAGTCTCCTGCAAGCCACAGCAGCACAAGGAGAATTACAGGAAAGGTAGAAAAATGAGCCTGAGAAGAAGCTGAGCTTTGAGTCTGATCAGTGCTGCTCTGGGCAGCAAAGACGAAAGCCCCCAGTTTACTGCACTTTTTATTCAGTACATTGGGAGAAACAAATGTAACAAATGACTTGCAGAGAGTTCAGTACATCCGCGCAAACAAGATGTAACAATCCAAGAACAATAAGGAACTGAGTAGATGTTTGTTCCTCCCAGGATGTTTTCAGCTCCCAGGATGTTTGTCTTGGAGAATCACAGCATCAGCATCACCAGATCATTGAGGTCTCAATTGTGACCGGAGGCCAAAATGGAATTATGTCTCAGAATTCCATAGCTGGGCTGTAGGCAGGAGAAGTAGGCTAACCAAATGATTTTACCCTAAAATTATGTAGCATTGCTCCCGACAGGAGCTAGCTTGGGAAGACTTTGTTTTGCTTAGTTGCTGTAGTTGGATCAGCCTCCCCAGAGGGGAACAAAGGGTAAAGACCAACATTTACTGAGCCGTCCCACAGGCTTACCTTTGAAACACAGATTTTCAAGTGGCCATATCCTTAGCTCACTTTTTAATTTCAATTTAAGCCCATATTGAAAAATGCCCACAGACTAGGCTGCCAGGTGTTCCTCATGTTCAGTAAAGAAAGGAGATAGTCATTGATTTTAACCAAGGGTAGTGGCATGGCTATATTTGTGTTTGTGAAATGGGGTGAAAGGTGAAACGGGCCTTCAGACAGTTGCTCCATTGGCTGGAGACTCTAGTGTACTACACCCACCTCTTAACCATCTTAATTGACTTTTTTTCTATTCCAGAATTAGGCAACACTTCAGTCCATAAAATAAACTGTTCTGATGGTCCAAGCAAAGGAGGTTGATTTTAAAGACATATCTGCTTCCCATTAATCACAAAGAGTTACTGTCTTCATTTCTAAATATTCTGCAAAATATTCTCCCCAACATTTCCTCTTATTCCTTCTTAATCATCTTAATTGGAGTTGTTTTTATTCTACAGTTGGGTAACAGTACATAAAGTGCTCTGATGGTTCAAGAAAGGAGGCTGGTTTTTCTGCTTTTCTTGAAGAAAGCAGAAACAAAAGGAAAAGTCAGTTACTTTCCTTACAAGCAGGGACAGGAAGACAGGACAATAGGAAAATTACTGATTACTTAATTAATATCAGGTTATTTAAGGTTAATTCCTTTATGTAAGGATTAAAGCCCAAGGAATGTCATCATAATGACAATTGAAATTGGCCCTGTTTGGGAAACTCTCATGGGCTTTCTTTCCTTTCCTATCCTTTTTTTCCTTCTTTCATTCTGCCTTCCTTTTGTTTCACGCCTCTCTCTATCTCTCCTTCCTTTCTTCCATGCCTGCCTCCCTCCTTTCTTTCTCTCCTCTTTTCCTTCTCTCCCTCCCTTCTTCCTTTCCTCCCTCCCTTTCTTTTTTTTTCATTCTGTTGAGCCACACCTAAGCCCTTATCTTTGAGTTCAGTGCCCTCTGAGATTGTCTCCCTGGATTTCAGTCAAAACCAGAATGCAAGGGACAAAGGCAGATGTGCACAGATGAATAAGAGAGCAAAGTTTTCTTGTCTAAGGTAGGGCTGTCAATGAAAGGAGGAGCACTTTGGAGATTTTGGCTTGGTTACAGAGAGACCTCTCGTGTTACTGGAACATTGAAACCATATTTCTAGAGCTCAGAACCACTGCTTTCTGGTAGGCCTCTATAGCCATAAACTTCACTTCCTCTTCTCAAACATGGTTTGTCTAAAATTGAGGCCATATTCCTAGAAATTCAAATATATAAACAAGCTCTTTCTGGCTCTTCTTAGTTGTGTGAAGCAACTTTCTCCCCAAACTTAGCTAATGTTTCCCCTGCCTGTAATGCCCACCTTTCTGTATATGGCTCAGTTCTTTAGGCACTTCTGCTTCACTTCATTTGTAAAGTTTTTCCTCCTTCCCTTTGGGGGATTAAGGTGCATTTAATTTGCACTATCAATTGTATTTCCACACATCTGTCACAAAGTCTTTTAAAAAATTTATTAGTACATTTGTAGTGCTTAATGTTTATATTCCTTTTGGAAAGGTGGAACATGTATGTAATAGATCTTACTTCCTTTTTTCAATCCTCTTTCACTTCCCTCCCTCCTCCATCTCTTGATCCCCTTCCTTTATTTCTATGTTTTCAGTACAGTACATAATGTTTATATTCCTTGTGTCAGAAAGTCTTAGCGGGATGCATTATCATTGAAAATTTACCCCCTGACTTGGAGTAGCTTCAAAGACCTTATCAATTATCTGTAAACTTGTGTCTAAAATCTAGTAGATACTCAGTAAATATTGAATGAATGAATGACACTCGATGACTGTTCTCAAAAACTCTCGGGGGAACACTTGAGACTTGTTAAAACTTTTTTTGTTGTTGTTTTTGTTCCCTGTGATTCTATTTCAGGAAGTCAGAGGTGGAAGTCCAGTCTAGGACTCAGGATAGTTCCCAGATGATTTTCATGAAGGAGCTACCACGATTACATTCTGAAGAGTCTTTGCGATCACTGCAAGGAACTTTCCTTCTTAGAGGCTGTATTTGAAAACCCCTCACGGATTGGGGCGTTGTGCTACTTCCCTAGGCCTGTACCAAAACCCAGAAAACCTCTCTTGAATGAATGACAAAACCACAGGGGAATAGACGAACGAAGAAGCCGAGTCAACCATTTGCTACACATTTGGTGGCAGCTCCTACTTCTGTGGCAGCAGAAAGACCGCTCAGAGCCAAGCCTTTTGGCCAGATTCTCTCAGAGAACGAGCTGACGGAGGACTACGTTTCCCAGGGGTCCACGCGACTCTAGGCAGGCGCACTTGGAAAACAATCGCCAGTTTTCCTCCCAGGAGTCCGCGGCCCGCCCCGCCCCGTCCCTTCTCGCCTGGTCCGTAACTCCCCTCCTGCGGCGCCCTTGGCTTAGAGAGCGTTGGACTTGCCTGCCGAGGTCATGGACTCGCCGCTGCAGTTCCACGGGCGCGTCGTGCTGATCACCGGCGCGGGGAGAGGTGAGCCCTGGAGCCGGGGGCCAGCTCGCGCCTCGCTCCTTGCGGGCCCCTTTGGGGGGGGGGGCACCGGGCGGCTGCAGCTCCGGTCCCCGCGACGCGCGTGGTTCAGGGACCGGCGGGAGAGGACAGCTGGGAGGGCTGGTCTGGTCTGAATGGAGACCGGGGTCAGAAGCTCCTGCCCATCCAGAGGCAGGGGCAGCCTCTCTCCCTCGGACCCTGTAGAGTGTCCTGAGGTCCAAGTCCTGCAGGGCAGAGGCCGGGCGGCTGCTGGTTGGAAAACTGGTTAAAAGTTCATCTTGGCTCTTTGAGAGCACGGATCGTCATTCTTCTGCCCTGAGACTTAGGCCTGTCAGGTCTCTTAAAGGCCTGAAAACTCTCTCAGAGCTTGGAATTCACTTGAGTCAAGATCTCAGCCCTGCTGCTGTGAAAAGTCATTCATGCAGTGTTTCTTTTCCTCTGTCAAAGGTTTTTAAGTTCTTGAGAAGGCCTTTCCAGAGGGTACCTATCCGATAAAAGCCTTCTTTCTTGAAGTCTGTAATGTGTGCTTAGCAAACCGTGCGCTATTCTCAAAAGTCCACAAGTGTCTTGGTAGAGGCGATAAAGGCAAATATATGCAGGGGTGAGTGAGGTAGATGATAGAGGAATAAACTGGAATGGATTGGTAAGGGTGAAGAACTGGAGAGCAGAGACATTTCTGAAGTGGGGCAGCCAATGAGCAAGTTGCCATATTTCCCCATGTTTCCCCGTATTTCGAGAGAACCAAAATGGTGAATTGTTATGTGAAATAATCCCCTTTCTAAAAGACAAAACGTTAAAACACTCATACCCGCATAGATGCTCTGCAGTGAGATTTTTACACTAGTTTCCCACTAGTGGAACCTCCAAGTGCAGGGATCCTAACTTCATGCACTATACCTGAGGGCCTTAATACATGAATTTGAATTACATATTAAAAGTCACCAGCAGTGGAATTCTGTCAGCTGACTCCTGTATACTTTTACAGCTCTACTGATAAAATGAATCCTTAAGGCTGCCTTTCAGAAGATCGTTTGACTATTAATTGGTGGCTATTACCCATAGCTATATTCATTCTACTGAAGTTTTTGAGAAAACATTTTGTTTACACTTTGCTTTTGAGGAAAGGATGTTTTAACTTCTTTTGACAGTGACTGACAGTATGTATGTTTCATATCAGGACCAAGTACACACGCACACATACACGCTTACATATATGTATCACACACACCTTCTCGGTATTCAAAATAAGTTCATGACCCAGTACATAGTAAATTTAACATGCTCTGAAATTCTCTCTTCTCTCTTAATAAGTGCTAATTGCAGTCCACCAAATTGACATGGTGGAACATTAATGAGTTGTAGACTAGATAATTATGACATTAGCACCTGTTCATAAATTTGCTGAGTTCTTTTTTATCCATTCAGAGTGGGTGAAATACTAAAATAAATTATTTGCTGATAGCTTCTAGTTTGGAAAACTTATATTTTGGATTTTTTGGAGGGAAAGCCTAATAATTTATCCATCTCAGTGATAATTTATCTGTCTCACTTTTTAATTCTTTTTCTTCCTTGTGTGCTGGGGATTGAACATGCTGGGCAAGTGGTCTACCTCCAAGCTATACCTGCAGCCTTTTGTTTTTTTTTGAGACAGGGTCTTGCTAAGTTGTCCACGTGAAACTTGAACTTGTTATCTTTCTATCTCTGTTATTTGTATAGTTATTTATTAATTGATTGAAATTATCAATAGAAGTTATCAGTGAAATTTATCAATTAAATTTTAAGATGTACACATTTTAAAACAATACAAAAGTCTTTTAACCTGGTTGTTAGCCAAATGGTTCTATTCCCCAAAAGTAACCACTAATTGTTAGTGTCACGTATTCATCCTCAGGTATTCTAAATTATGGCATATTATTATAAAACATATATCAAAGTTACATATATGTGTACATACACCTTTTTGAGTGTATATTGTACACTTCATAGCTTGGGGCATTAAATTGTTTTTGTATTTGTTAATTGTATAGCCAAGGTTCAAAGCAGGATACAAAATTCACTAGATAGGTAAGCAGGAAATTAATATAGCAAATTAGGTTTTAGGCAGGTCCTCTTTGGAACATTGGTTAGAGGACCCAATACCTTTGAGGTTATCATTGGCGTGCTCTCACAGCCCAGCTGGTCACAGAATATCAGAAAGGTGAGGTATGAAAGCTTCCATCTATGGTTTAAGAAGCTGAATCAGTAAGTTACCGCTATTGTTTTTTTTTTTTGGTACTGGGGATCAAACTTGGGACCCTGAGCTTGTGAGGCAGGCGGTGGCACCACTGAGCTAAATTGCCAGCCCTTCTACTGTTTTTTAATACCTAGGAATTTCAAGAAAATCAGTTTCTTAACCAACAGTAATAGTCAGAATTACAGTAAGATGGTTTCTGCCTCATTTGCACTGTCTTAAGTTTTATGGAACTCTGATAGTGGAACCCTGTTCACGTCTAGCATTCTAGCAGGTAGGTGGAATAGTAGGAAATGATAGGTAGAATAGGTGGAAAAATGTAGTTTTAAACTTTCTAATCTCTGTAAGCAGAAGAGATGGAGTAGAATTGGGAGTACCAATGAAGACTAGTATTGTACTGTAAGTAATTGGTCACTTATTTGAAAATGGTGATTGAGTTGAGTGGGGCAAAATAATTATGCTGACATTTCCTTTGACCTTTTTTTTTTTTTTTTTTTAGGATTGGGCCGAGTCTATGCCCTGGCTTTTGCAGAAAGAGGAGCATCAGTTATTGGTAAGTTGATGTATTTTTCTTTCGATTTTTTGTTTGTTTTGTTTTTTGAGAGCATCTTGCTATGTAATTCAGGCTGGCCTTGAATTCTGTTAGCCTAGACTGGCCTCAAACTCGTGGGAATCCTCCTGCCTCACCCTCCCAAGTGCTGGGATTACAGGCATGTGCCTCCACACTCAGCATATTTTTCTTTTTAATCAACATCTGATAACTAAAATACAGTCTTCAAGAGCTACTTTTGTCTGTAAATACTTTGTCAAAGTTTAATTTCATGATCAGTTTTTACTTTTGCTAGCAAATTTTTTACCCCCTTAAGGCTGACTCTTTTTAAGGTTGACTTTTAAATTTTTTAAAGTAAACTAGTTTTATAGAATTTCTAATTTAATAGATTTGATAAAGAGAAGTAAGCATTCGTTATATAAAAGGGAATTCTTGACTTTAGTACTGTGGGCTGTACATTCTTGAGATAGAACACATCTATTGATGCAGGATGAAAGAAGAATCTGTAAATTCATTGATAAATGGAAGAAATAATTGGAGTTTTAAAATTTAAAGTTTGGAGTCAGGGAATCAGAAGAATGGGTTTCTTATCTCTTTCATCAATTTTTTTTCAATTAAAAGCTTTTAAAAAATTTAAATTTAATTTGAGGTCAGTTATATGAGTTTTTTTAATTGCTACATGTTTGCAGTACGTAATGATTACATTCATTGTGGGAGTTGATACATGTACATGACACAATGTAGTTCTCTATTTGTCCTGTTCCCCTTATCTCTCTTCCTCCCTCCATCTCTGGACCCCTTCATTGATGTTTTTTTGGGTGCATATTTGTAGTAGGTAATGATCACATTCCTAGTAGGACTATGGTATGTGTACACAGCACGTTACAATCCCCCCTCCCCCGCCACTTTTTTTTTGGTACCAGGGATTGAACTCAGGACCTTGGACTTGCCAGGCAGGTGCAGCACCACTGAGCTACACCCCCAGCCCAGCCCCCCCCCGCCCCCATCTTATTTTCTTTCATTCCCAGCCCCTCTCTCCATTTCTTGGTTCTTGTGAAAGATCTATTTTATTATGTCCTATTGTCTGTCTTTTATTTTGCTCTTTATACATATTTTGGGTTTTTCATATGAGAAAAAACATGCAATATTTAACCTTGTGTGTCTGATTTATTTCACATAACATTATGGTCTCAAGGTGCATCCATTTTCGTATAAATGACTCAAGTTTATCCTTCTTTATGGCAGAGTAGTACTCTATTGTGTGTAAATACATTTTCTTTATTCATTCATCTGTTGGTGACACATAGGCTGCTTCCAAGATTTAGCTATAGAGTTACAATGTTATGGTGGAAGTGTCAGTTGAAGCTACTGTATTGAAAAATCCCAAAGGTTGGACTTTAGTAATCTTGAAACTGGCCTGATTATTTGGCAGTTGGTGTGAACACAATCAGTTTGTCCATATCCAAGCCTTTATAGGGAATAACTGAATTAGTGTTAAGTGCTGGGGGGTGTAGGGCAAATCTTAGGACCTAATATTTTATTAGCATCTTTCCTGTGGTGAAATTTTCTGTCTACAATGACCTATTTACAGCTTTCCCACATCTTACTAAGGAGAACAGAGAAGCAAATTTCCTTCAATTGGTTGTAGAGACAGGTATAAGGAGAGAATATTTCTGCACGCAGTCAGCACATTGGAGATCCTTTTCTCCCCTGTGTGGAGATACAGCTTTATGAAAGGGACATGGAGCCTTTGGGTGTTCTTTAAGCCACTATCTGCTGATCCAATTGGCTTCTTATGGCAAGGACAAATTTTTTTTTTTTTTTTGATACTGGCGATCGAACTCTGGACCTTGTGCTTGTGAGGCAGGCGGCGGCACCACTGAGCTATCCCTGGCCCTCAAGGACAGATTTTGACATTGTAATATTTGAATAGGGATGATGTACTTCAGATCTTTGTGTCAGATATTTCCAAAAATATTTTATACCATATCTTTTCTACTCAGTTTTTGTAAGTACAAGGATCTTGTTTGATCTTTTTCTGAGATTGAATATATTTCTATTTTTTTTCTTTTGTTTTGACAAAGATACAAAGTTTAAAGGTTGTGTCATAAAAATTTTCTTAACCATGTATGTTTGTGTGTACCAGATTTTCTTTGTTTTTATATTTGAATTTGTTAAATTCAGATGAAAATGTACAGGAACAATGTGTCTGTTTATTCTCTGATTACCTCATGATAAAGTTGTTATTACAGCAAATCCTCACTAAAAGTCCAAGAAGGCAGAAAAAAATATTTGCTAAATTTGGCTGAAGACCAAGATTTAGTTTGGTGTTGAAGGGCAGGACTCAAACTTTTTTTTTAATGGTATGGAATTAAGCCTAAAGGTGCTTTACCTCTCAGCTGTATCCCCAGACCTTTTGATTTTATTATGTGACAGGAGGATCTCACTTAGTTGGTCAGGCTGTTTTTGAACTTGCCATCTTTCTGCCTCAGCATCCCAGTTGGCTGGTATTTTAGGTGTGTGCCACTATGCCCAGCTGAAACTGAATCTGTAGAACTTTTAATAGATGCTTCCTATTCCTGTGTAGTCTGAGTTTTACCTCTGAACTTTGTAGGCCACTAAGGCATTGCGTTCTTCTTCCCTAATCACCATGACTCTACTGTAGCTCTTTTGTTTTTTTCCCTTTACTGGAGATCGAACTTGGGGCCTTTGCACTAAGCTGCATCTCCAGGTCTTTTTATTTTTTTTTAAATTAATTTTGTTGGTACATTTTAGGTATACACTATAATGACATTCATCATTGGAGATTTGCACCTTTACGTAATCTCTCTTGGTTATTTTTTCCCCATCCCCATCCCCTTGCCCTCCCTTCAACCCCTCCATCCCTCCCTATTTACAAAGACTGTTTCCATTTTTTCATTTTCTCATATTAATTCCATTCCCTTCTTTCCTTTCCCCTACCCCTCCCACTTCCCCTTCCTCTTTGCTCCAGTATATTTTTTTTTGGTACCTGGGATCGAACTCCAGTCCTTGTGCTTGCGAGTCAGGTGGTGGAACCACTGAGCTAAATCCATGGCCCTTGTTCTTGTTTTTGGTACTGGAGATCGAACTCGGGACCTTGTGCTTGTGGGGCAGGCCCCAGAACCACTGAGCTAAATCCCCAGCCCTAAAATGAGTTTTTATTTTTATAGTTGTTTTGGTACCAGGGATTGAACTTGGGACCTTGCACTTGCAAAGCAGGTGGCAGAACCACTGAGCTAAATCCCCGGCCCCTTTTTACTTTTATTTTGAGACATGGTCTCCATAAGTTGCTTAGGTTGGTCTCTTGGAATTCTCCTGTGTCAGCCTCCAGGGCTGGGATTAGAGGAAGTTGTGTGCCATGATACCCTGATCTAATCACATTAACCATTCAGCTTCTAATTGTGGCTGTGCTGTGTCTTTCCAATTTCAGGATCCTGGCTGAAGGTGCAGCTCCTATCTGAAATGGTGCTACTATTTGGGCAAAAGGGAACATAACATTCTAAAGAGTGACATTTGATTTTGCATAAATTACATCTTTCAGGCATGGTTTGCATATATCTGAAGTGGCTACTGAAAATTGAATAGTTTTGAACTTTCCTCAGAAGGTGAGCCATGCCCAGTTATTTGAGAAGCAAGTTTTATCTTGAGGGCACGAATGCAAGGCATTCCATGTTACAAATGTTCCAGCAAGAACACGTTATTTGTAAGAAAGGCAGAAAGTTTTGTACTCTGACCTGAAGTAACATCTTTGGGTAAATTAAATTATCATCTGTGAAGTAAGATTGACATGATGTTTTTCTGTGCTGCAGTTACATAATAGCTGGCAATGCCCAGTCTGCCATTCCCATTGACTGTTGCCAATCTGTATTTGAAACTGCTGTGCGATGTTGCCAGCTGAATGGTGATGCCAGCGGGGAATGTCTATTGATCATCCTTGGAATTAGGTTAGGGTTCAAATCCTGGCTCTGTTGCCTAATTATATGACTTCTGTATTTGTAGCTTTTTCCCCTATCTGCTAGAATTATGGTGAGATTAAATTACATAAAAATTAGACACTTTTGTAAAGGGGAAGGGATGAAACTATTCCTCCCATTCACCATGTACCAGGCACTGTGCTCAAGAACTGCATAAATCAGTTCATCAGTGAACCTGAGGTCTTGGTTCCTCAGGGGCCACCCGGTCCCCTTATTTAAAACATGTTTCTCCTGTTGATGCTTAAAGAAAAAGGGCTGCTTTAGGCACCAGTGTATTCTCTGTGAGTAGAAGCATATTTTGCTTAGTAATCAGGAATTTTTGCTGTTTGATTGAGTATCTTAAACTTACATAACACTAGGAGAAAGATCAGAAGAAAGCACGTGTGGATTCCAGCTCACAATGAATGAGCCATATGTGCAACATCCACATCTCCCCTCAGTGTCTTCATGATGATCACCAACACAGGTTACGGGGGAAACCTTTGAATTACTGTTACTATTTATCACTTTTAAAGCCTAATTTTAAAAAAATGTCATAAAGTTAATGGACATAGCATCAGTTGGATTCATTTATTCGTCCAAAAAAGTATTTCTTGAGTGTCTGTTATGTGGTATGTACTGTTCTGGGTGCTAGAAGATTACAGTGGGAATTAGACCAGATCCTTACTTTTATGGAACTTTTAGGGGGGACAGTAGAGAGACCATAAAATATGTATTATTTAAAATGTAATAGGAATGCTATGGAGAAAAAGTTAGAATGAGCAGGTTAGAAAATGCTGAAGGATGACTTGAGCAAGACCTGCAGGAAGTGAAGGAGTGTACCTAGAGATCTGGAGCCTGAGAGTTTCTGACCAAAAGAACAGCTGAAGTAGGAGCTGACTTGGTGTGTTTCATACCAAGAAGGCCCTTGTGGAAAAAGCCCTTGTGGATAAGGCGCTTGTGGCTGGCCAGCATGAGGTCAGGTCAGTGAAGGGAACCAAAGCAAGATGAGAGGAAAGAGATTGCAGGAGCTTTGAATAATGGTATTCCTGCCAAAATTCATATGGAAACTTAATCCCCACTGTAACAGTATTAGGAGGTGCAGCCTTTGGAGGGAATTAGCACCTGCATAAAAGGATCAAGGTTGAATCACCTTCTTGCCCTTTCTTTCATTCTGCTATGTGAGGTAACAGCATTTCTCCACTCTGGAGCATGTGGCAACAAGGCTGCATCTTGGAAGCAGAGAACAGCCGTCACCAACAATAATTTTTGGACATCCCAATCTATGAAGTAAGAGTGACTTTTTTTCTGTGCTGCAGTTACACAATGGCTGACATTGTTGAGTCTTACATTCCCATGGACTAATGCCAGAACTGCAAGAAATAATCTTCTGTTGTTTATGAAATCACACAGTCTGTGGTATTTTGTCATACCTAGTACAAGTGGACAAAGGGACCTAATTCAAGGCACTGCTTTCTAAACTACCACATTTTGGAGTCCTTCAGATATTTAGATATGGTTATTCTGGAAAAAGATTCCTCATGAATCTTTCTACCAAAGAGTAAAGACAGTATGACAACCTGTGTTTTCCTGTTTCTTTGGCTGGCAAGTAGTTTAAGGGTAAACCTGAGAAGGTCCTCAACAACTATTAGCCTATACATCCAGTATGTCTGTCTTTTTCTGATGTAACATCTTGTTAAATTTCTCCCTCTGTAATAGTATTGTTGCACATGTATTAAAAAATACTTTTTGATAGTCACAATATAAAGATAATACAGGTAAAAAGAATTTCCATTGATATCACAGCTCTGTAATCAGTGAAATGAGTTTTTGTTTTGAGTTTTGTTTTTTGGTGCTAGGGATTGACTCTGGCCTTGTGCGTACATGCTAAGCATATACTCTACAATGGAGCTAATACCTTTTCCCCAGTGAAATGATTATTTTTTGGGGGATGGGCAATATTGAGCATTGAACCCAGGACCTCACACATGCTAGGGACATGCTCTACCACAGAGCTATATCCCCATCCTTGAAATGAATTGTAATATTTTTTTGCTACATGAGAGAAAATGCATCAAGGATAAAAAATAGGAATGCCTGGTTACAGTTCAAGAAATAAATGGTTAACAGCAGGTGCCTCTGGGAGAGATTTAGGTAGGAGCAAGGGTAATAAAATTCTTTTTGAGTTTACGTAGTTAATTTCCTTAAAAGCATTATTAAAAAACATAAATGTATTCATGATGTAATATTGTCTGTTATACCTCTTGGATTACTCAGTATAAAGATATCACATAATCACTACATATGAAAGTTTTCCTGATTGTGTAGGATTGGAAGCACCATTTTACTTTGGAAATAAAAAGCAATTTTTGATATGTCATTGGTAATGATATAATTTAGTTGGTGACAAATCCTTGAATTGATGTGTATGAAAATTAATATAGGTAATTATAAAGCACTTTATAAAGTATTATAACATTATTACTCTTTGTACGTAGGTGAGAAGTTAAAAGTTGATATATAGTTGGTTGTGGTGTTGCATGCCTAGAATCCCAGCACTCTAGAGGCTGAGGCAGGAGGATGCAAATTCAGAGCCAGCCTGGGATACATAGCAAGACTGTCTCAAAAACCAAACTGGAAAAAAAAATTGCTGTATATACTGTGACAAAAAGAACTGCCTGCTTGTGGTAAATTAAAGGATTAAAGTGAAGACAGACTACAAAGTATTTGAGCAAGGTACTGACATATCATGAAGAGTGCCTTACCTCAGCAGCAGTCTGCAGACAGGTTAAGATTGGAAACAAAAGATGACCTGGGAGGCAACTCCAGTCAGCTAGGCACAAAAAGATAGAAAGGGAAAGAAATGAGGATAGCAAATTCTTTAAAAGAACTGGCAGCTCCTTACTACATAGAAAGAAGACCCCTAAGCACCCAGCACAATGCTGGATCCAGAGTGGGAACTCCATAAGCATCTCAAAGAGTCCTAATGAAGTTGGTGACAAGATGGGATGTCTCAGGGCCTGTGCTTTTCAGAAATGGGAAAAGAGAATGAGTAAGAACGAGTAACTAGAAGAACTCTTATCAGTAGAGAAGTGACACTGAGGAAGAGGACAGTTTTATGGGGATAGTACTGGGTTTGGTTCACCTTTTTTTTTGTGGAAAGGTAAGTTATATCCCTTTAGCTAGTTTAGTAGTCCTGATACCAGGAGATCCAAAGCATATTTCTTAATATTTGGAGCCAGTAGTTAAAGAATGCTAGAGTGAAGGACAGAGAGAACAAGAAATTAGCCGCTCTCAAAACAAACTATACAGCAAATAGAATTATTAAAGAGAATACTTAATCTGGTCTGTGTAATAAAACACTGAAAAACAGTGTTCATATCTTTACATATAAAGGACATTTATAAATATATCAGAAAGACAAACACCCAGATAAAACAAAATAGGAAAAACAGTAAGAAATGTAAATGGTCAATATGCCTATGAAAATAAAATCTTACTTTATTAGTGCTCAGAGAAATGTAAATTAAATCAGTGAGCTACAATTTATAGTTACAAGTATTTGTCTTACTGAAAAGAGTAATAGTACTGTAATGTGGGGGAAACAGGCATTCTCACAAACATATGGGTCTCTTTTTAGGCGATGCTTAAAAATAATTTGGATAATTTGGTACTTCACATTTAGGTGTCCATTTATTTACTTACAGAATACTTTTTCTAGGATCCAAGTATATTTTGGAATTCCCTGGATCACTACATTTCCAATATAATTTTATTTACTCAAACTTTAGGGTAGATTTTTAGGAAAAAGTTTCTATTAGTATTTAATATTCAAGCCACTACTTTAAAAAAAATGGCAAAAATAGGGGAAGATTTTTAAAAAATAATAAAAAAACTTTCTTGGCTATGAGTTGGATCTTATATGGAGAATTTACAAATATATCACACTTTGGAATACTTTGATGGCTTCACCTAAAAATACTTTTTCCTTAGCTATCATAATTTACCATGTATACAACTTATTTGCATGGAGTATCTGGTTTCTCTATACCTTCTGATGTGATTTTATTTTTCCTGAGTGGAATGATTATGTTCTTTTTAAAATAAAAAAAAAGTTGCCTATAGCATTAGAGGAGCAGAATGGTAAAATAGTAGGTCCAGGTTGTAGGCTAAATTTTGCCATTTCATATTAGTCTATAGGAGTTGGGGTTAGGACCCAGTCGTTTTCCAAACTTTTTTCACTTGTGCAGGTAGGAACAGTTACTGCCAATCTCTTAAAAAGCTGTATAAAGATTAAATGCATCAGTGTACCTATTGGCTCATCGAAAATGTGAATTAAACACCTATTAGTGTGAGTTGATGATACTGTTATTATTACTGTAATTTTAGTCATACCTTGAAGTGATAACAGTGTCATATAGTGCGGATGTATTTTCCATAACTGCAAGAGTTCTTTTTAACATTGTTGCTATCCAAGCCCTTGAGCTGGAAACCAGTGCTTTTTTGGTAGTAATCCCCATGATTTATAGCTCTGGCGATAGTGGGATGATTGAATGGATCAGGGATTAATTTAGTACTGTCTAATGTACAAACTTGTTTTGAATAATTCTATTCTGATACTGTTTACATATTATTGTCCCCAACAGATTATTTATCCAGGCTTCAGTATCTACCTGTTTGGTTGTACTTTGTGAAATTTCCACTTGGGGGTAGTATTTTATTGCAAAATTGAACAGTTTTTCACTTCAATAATGTACTTGCCAATTTGATTTTGAAATTTCCTATGCTTATTTAAAAAGTCATAAAAGAGTTATACTCAGGGTTAGAGTATTTGACTGCATAAAAGACTACTAGCCAATTGTTTTAAAATCTTGATTTTAAAAAAACTGATTGTTTCCTGTCATTTGAATACAGTAATTGCATGGAAGTGAACAGTTAATAGTAATTTAGTCATTTGAGAATTTACTATTTCATCACTTGAAGGAAAATGTAAAACACACACAAAATGTTATTTTGTGTCTTTGCAGAATTTTTATTTTCAGTTAATACACTTTTAGGAAAAATATATCTCATTCTACTGAAAAACTCACTTCCTTAAAAAAAAAAAAAAGTGAAAACACATTTGCCATTGTGGGTTTTAAGTGTGGCTAGGTGTTGTATTTTTTTTCTCTGTATCATCCTTTACCTTCTGAACCAACCTAACCCACTTTGTACCCTCACTTCAATTAAAAAATAAAAACCAGCTAGAAAAACCTCAAAAAATTTTTCTTCAGAAAAAGATCTTCTTTTTTCCCCAATCATGAATATTGAAATTTTAGTATATACTGTCATATCATTTATTGATTAGTAATATTTATTGTTGTAGTCCTCAGAATCTATGCAATAAACAAAAATGGCCACTTTGGTATGCAGATTCTTTGTGGCAAGTGTTTTTCTTAAATGTTACATTTTCCCAGTTATTTGTTATTGATCCAATATTTTTTCATTAGTTTTTGCATGTTTTATAATTTTGTCTTGAATTATTATGTAAATAACTTTCTTAATTTTTCTTTGTTAGTTATATTGGCTTTGATAGGTAGTTTATGCTAAAATCTATGCATTACTTGGTTATAAAACACTTAACTTTCAATACATTAGAATCTCTTAGGGCAAGCATCATACTTACTATGTAAGCACTTCTGTGCCCCAGTGTAGATTTTCTTAAAAACAGTAAATGCACAATTAATCTTAGTATCCATCTAATTGGATATAGGGAGGCATTATGTGTGGTTAAACATGGAAAGCTCAAGGGATGTCTTAAATTAGTTAACTGAACACACATCTGTATGTAATTTTTTTTTTTTTTTTTGGTACCGGGGATCGAACTTGGGACCTTGTGCTTGCAAGGCAGACAGCGGAACCACTGAGCTAATTCCCCGGCCCTGTGTGTAATTTTTGATCTCTTTTAATAAGTTTTTATTTCTTTAATTCTCCATGAAACAGGTTATTTTATGAAAATTTCAAGTGTTCTTTTTTGCCTGATAAGTTAAAATCATGCATGTGCATGTTTTATCACTATTCTGTAAACAAAATTTTCCTCACATGGAGAATATATGTTACATTGTATGCTAATAACCTCTTTCTAAATTTTCTTATAGTAAGAACACAATGTAAGATCTATCCTTGTAATAAATTTTAAGTTTATAATACAGTATTGGTATAGGCACAGTGTTGTATAGTAGATCTCTGTAACTTGTTCATCTTGCATATTGAAACTTTATACCCATTAGTTAGCAACTCATTTTTAACCTCTCCTCAGTTCTTAGCAACTACCATTCTTTTTTTTTGTACCATCAATCAAACTCAGGTCCTTGCACTTGTGAGGCAGGTGGCGGCACCACTGCTTAGCAACTACCATTCTATATTTGCTTCTGTGTGTTTGAACTATTTTAGATACTGGATGTGAATGGTATCATGCAGGGTTTGTCTTTTTGTGACTATCTTATTTCACTTAGCATTCGTCAAGGTTATCCTCTTTTTTATTCATCTATCAATGGACATTAGGTTCTTTCCACACCTTAGCTATGGTGAACAGTGCTATAATGAATGTTGGAGTGCTAATATCATCTCTCTAGTATTTGAAGAGATCTACAATTTTTTTTCTTCTCATTTCTATTTTGGATAAAAAATGGAAGTGAAATTGCTATATCATTAACTTTGTTTTTAATTTTTAAAAATTAACATTAATTGCACATATTAATGGATTCAGGTGATATTTCCATACATACAGCATGCCTAGAGCATATCAAAACACATTTCTTTCACTTCACCCCTCTTTGCCTCCTAGTAATCACTGTTCTACTTTTAGCCCCCCAAACTATTATATTGTCTTGTTGCATATTTAATCTTGAAGTGATTTTCACATTGTTTTCTTCTTTCTTTTTGCTGAAAAGCAGTTGAACCATCTTTTTTTTTTTAAAAGAGGAAGAACCTTGCAGAGTTAAAATTTCATGACATGAACCTATATTTAAGTATTTCTGCTGTTTATGATAAAAAACAGAGTATGATTTGAAAATACCTACCTTATGGAATGTTTAGTAAAATGGGGATAGGGTAGGAGGGGATTAGACAGATGATTGAAAAAATAAATTAGTAATTAGAATTTCATTGCTAATTTTTTTAAGGTCTAGGAATTAATTGTTGTTTGCTTCCTATTGCATTGCAGTGAATGATTTAGGAGGGGATTTCAAGGGAGTTGGTAAAGGCTCCTTAGCAGCTGATAAAGTTGTTGAAGAAATAAGAAGGAAAGGTGGAAAAGCAGTGGCCAACTATGGTATGGTATTTGAAAAAACTATGCTGTTTATTTTCCTTCAACTTACGCAGTTGCTCACATAATAATCTTTGTGAAACTACCCCAGCATTCCAGTGTAATATGATGTTAGATTTTGTCTAATTCTGCCAAAGCTCTTTAGCTACATATTTTACCTGAGAATTTAAAAAAATTTGATATAGATTATTTCATAATTCTAACTTTTGCTGTGTTTAGTTGTTCAGTATTTTTATTAATGAACATATGATATATTCAGTAAATTATTCTAGATATGCTATGTTCTTGTTCTTAAAAGACCTGTTTCAGTTAAAAGGTCTTACATGTTTCTGTAGAATGATCTTAAATTCTTTTTAAAAGACAAAGCAATACAATGTAAGAAGTGTAATGCCCTCTTCCTGTACCAGTCTCCAAATTCTATTCTGCACAAGTAGTCACAGCTGGTATTACATAGCTTCCCTATTGCTGGGACAAAATATCTGGCATCCACAACTTACAGTAGGAGAGGTTTAACTTGGGTCCCAATTTTAGGGAATTCAGTCCATCATTGCCTAGCTCCAAGGCAGTAATGGCACGGTGGAAAGCCATAGCTGAAGAAAGCTGCTTACCTCATGGTAGCCAGGAAGTAGAGAATGAGGGATGAGCTGGGAGGGAGATATATCCTCCAACTGCCCACTTCTACTAACCAGGCCCCATATCCTAACAGCACATTTGGCTGTGGACTCATCAATGAGATTACTCTAGACAAATTGAACGTTTAATTTTTTAAAACATTTTGAATACTCAATAGCCATACATGGTTAGTGGTTACCATATTGAACCGTGTGGATATAGGAAGTTTCCATTCTCACAGAAAGTTATATTGGACAGTGCTGCTTTAGTTAGTATTTTTCAAGTATTTATCTCCCTCATCCCTCATTTTTTTGTAGGTTAAAAAATTGTCTAGGGCTTAATTTCTTTGGTAACATTAAACCATCTATGTTTTATTATGTGCCTTTATTATAAATGTGTATTTCTTGGAAATCTGTTGGGTGAATAGTAGCAATCATATGGTCTGATAAACAGAATTTAGTCATTTATGAGGTGATTACTGACTTTTCTTACTATTTTCTCTTCCCTTCAGATTCAGTGGAAGCGGGAGAGAAGGTTGTGAAGGAAGCACTGGATGCTTTTGGTAGAATAGGTGATATTTCTTTTCATTTATGGTCCTAAAAGAGCACCTCCTGCTTTCCTAATGAAATATTTTTCAATTTACCTTTTTTACTTTTATGATCTGATAGCTTACAAATTAAATAAGGTGAATTATATATAGTAAAATCTACGTTATTAAGAAGTGTTCCAAATACACTGTTTAGTGCATATTTCTCTAGATAATCGTCCTGGTTTACTCGCACACATTCTTACTAAAGGTTAATGAATTTCTAGAGGGAAAAATTATCATGGATAGCCTAATATATTTACAGTCTAAAAGACATTACTTTTTGTAAATTGAATATATGCCTTACTCTTTTGTTTGGTCGAGCCTATTTGTTTTTCTAGTTAGGTCGTACTCATAAGAGCTGTGTTCATATCATTTGACAGAGACAATAAAGGCTGAGGTCATAGGGAGAAAACAGCCACAAGATGGTGGTTTAATCTGAAAGAAATAGTTGCTTTCTTTGCAGAGAGAGCCAATTATAAATCAAAATATGGCAAGTTTCTAACTTTGTCTCTCTTTGAGCTTTTTGCCTTTTGAGTGGCATGGAAAGATCTTTAAACTTTTAATTTTCTTAGTGAATTTTCATTTTGAGTGCAGGATGACTTATGGTTCTGAGTCCTCAGAAACTAACAACAGCTAATTCTGTATATAACCTGGTAGAATTTCAGTACATAATTGGGGTGGGAAAACGGAAATATATGTTTGAGAAAAAGGTACTGATGTAATGTGATATTTGTACTTTTATGAATCAGTCTTTTTGTTACAGGTATAAATTTTTTTTTTTTTTTTTGGTACTGGGGATTGAATTCAGGTCCTTCTGTTTGCGAGGCAGGAGTTGGAACCACTGAGCTAAATCCCTGGCTCTTAAAATTTTGTTTTGATAGTATTCTTACTATATTTACTTTACCATGGGGATGGGAGAAACCCATTTTGAAAAAAATGTGAGTTGTAAGCAAATGCAGATTAATATGCTTGCTTTTATATTTGTGACCTGTTATCTTTTTATATTGTAGATGTTGTGGTCAACAATGCTGGGTGAGTATTTCCTTTTTTCATTTTTAATATAATTTATATAGTTGTTTTTGTAAGTGTATATTTCCCCCCCTTTCTAAATAAATTCTAATTCTAATATCATTATTTTAGAATTCTGAGGGACCGTTCCTTTAGTAGGACAAGTGATGAAGACTGGGGTAAGTTATTTTTAATACGTCTCCGTGGAACATACCTATTTGGCTTTAAAAGTCTGATACCTTCATATATTTAAGAAACCTCTTTTGCTGCAGCTAGTATAAATGACAATCACTATACTGATAATAATGAATAGTTGCAAGTAGCCTACTTTTTTAACATTTGATAAACTTAAAAAAATTTAAATTATTTGGCAGAAAGGATTTTCTTTCAGTTTGTTTCTGTTTTTTCTTTTTTTTTTTTTGGTACCGGGGATTGAATTCAGGACCTTGTGCTTTCCAGGCAGGCGGTGGTGGCTTGTTTCTCTTTTTTCTTGAGAGATTGTTAGCATTTTCTTACAGTGTTAACTCTTTCTGATTGCCTTTAACATGTTATCAAGCTGTATCATTCTTTTTTTAAGACCAGAGCAGAACATGGGAGAGTGTCTAGGGCACAAAAAATGGGAAGTAATAGAGATCTGCGAACAGGGTAGGACAAAAATCTGGATGTATATTTGAAGTTTCTAATAAATAAGGATTTCCATTTTCCTTTGCCATGTTGGACTGATTGAATTTAAATAAATCAAGAGGGATAGGGGAAAGGAAAGAAGGGAATGGAATTATTATGAGAAAATGAAAAAAAGGAAACGAAGTCTTTGTAAATAGGGAGGGATGGAGGGGTTGAAGGGAGGGCACTGGAAGGGGGAAAATAATAAGAACCAAGAGAGTATGTAAAGGTGCATATCTCCAATGATGGATGTTATTATATTGTACGCCTAAAATGTACCAATAAAAGGATATAGAAAAAAAATAATCACAGTTGTGGTTTTTTGTTTTCATTTTTCCTACTCTTTTTGTCCTTATGTTCACTGAACATCACAACTAATTCTAACAGTAACAAGTGAGACAGTGGTCAAGCTTGAGATAACTGTGACATTGTTCATAGTACATGCTTCTGTCTCCCCAAGTCCTTTTAGAGGAAGCCAAACATCCTTATGATTTAGAATTAATCGAAGAAGAACTGTTAGTGTCCTCTTCCCATATAATGAGTAAAAAAGAAGTTAGATTTGCTGGTAAAGGGGCTTATGTTGGTAGTTTAGAGCTCTGTAGGGACTGAGTTTCCTTCCCTGATTCCATCCTGCTGAGCTCACTACTCCTGACTACCCTTTTGTTTTATTTTGTAGCTGTTTTCACTCTTACTTTCTTCTGATAGGCACATGATATTTATTGAAGCCCCACATTGAAAGAAAAATACATAAGAGTGGCTAAAAAAATTTGACAATTAAAAGAATACATTAAATCTATAGAGTTGTCTATCTGAATAGTACTTCTTAACTGTTCATGACTGAAATTTCTGAAAACAAGCCTCTCAGTTTTTGCCTTTTGTGCATTCTTACTTGCTGCAATCCGCACAGCATAGGGTCCGGAGCCAGGGAGAGTGGTGGGAGATGAAGAAGAAATGATGAAGAGACCAAGATTATTCTTGAAGTTTGGGATCAGGTGGAACCATAGGGGTGGGAGCTAATGGTTGGTTGGAGGACTACGCCCTCGTTATTTATAGTGGAAAGCAAACAGGAAGAGAAGGCAAGGAAAATAGTGCTACTTGACCTATGTGGCCTAGGCGAAAGTAGTGTGATTGTTTCGTGATAGAGAATGCGAAGGATACAATGTAACTGTCTTCTGGAGCTGTGCCATCCAGGGTCTGCAATATGAGTTTTGACTTCAATTTATAGAGGAGAAAGGGAGCAGGGAGGAGAAAGGAAGGAGGTAAGAGGTGAAAGCCATCTTCAGGCGTGGCTGGTGGCACTTATTCATCCCCATTCCAACTCATTTGTAAACTTGTAAAAAGTAGAGATACAGCGAATATTGTGTAGCTATTTCTTGACAAGAAAATGTGTGGTTTGTGATTATGTATTAATACTAGTTGTGAGTGCCAATATATATGTAAAATTCTTGTGTGTCTATATTAGCTGGCTTTTACATAAATAAGCATTAAAAATAAGCATTATATTTAGATATGTATGGAGACTGCAATAACTAAATTTTAGGGAAAGCTGTTGTAGTGTGGGTATAAACTGGCGATTGGTAGCAAGCATGATTGGAACAAAAGCAAAAATGATCACTCAGAATGGTTAACAGTAGCTGATTTTTGAATACTGGGTACAGAATGAACATCTTTGTATAGGTGAACAAGCCATTGCCTATTTGCATAATAAAAGTGACTTCTTGTTTTAGATCTGGTCCACAGGGTTCATTTGCGTGGCTCATTTCAAGTGACCCGGGCAGCGTGGGATCATATGAAGAAACAGAACTATGGCAGGTAGAGTTTCACACAGCTGTCAAAGAGGACTGCAGATGTGCGCACACGCGCGTGTGTGTGTGTGTGTGTGTGTGTACGCGTGCACAAAGAAGAAAGATTATATGATGTTATTAAATGATTGCTTGGTATTGGGAACAACATCTTCATGTTTTTAAAATGTAGTTTTGGTACTCATTAAATTGGTGTCATTTATAGTCACAGATTAGCTGAGCTAGATAGCTTTGTATATCTTTCTTACCTCCTATTTTTGATTATTAATGATTTTCCTGGGTTTTTTTGCATTTTAGAAAGTAGTACAAACGTTGAGGATCGAGATGTATGGTATTGTCTAACAAAGTGTAATTGTGTGTCCAGTGATCAGCTCGGGAGAGATCAGTGGCTATTTCCTGTGAACTGATATGGACTGGAATGTATTAGCCTTATAATCTGTTTAGCCACTGAGGACTCCTCTTGGTTGCTCCTTCTTGTGTAACTCAGAATGTGGCAGTGCTAGTGCACTTTTTTCACGTACAGTAATGCTCTCTGGTGTCAGGGTCATCCCTATTAATTTAGGTTTCAGGCATACCTTTCAGAGGCAAGTTGTTTGTAATGCCTCTTATTGAAGACTTCTAGTTTATTTTGATCTTGGCATTGTCTGAAAGTAAGTGATGTGATTTATTTGTTTTAAGTAGAATGAGGTTTGGTCAGATTATAAAATGGCATTGTTTTAGTGGGGAATTTAATATTAAGCAGAAAGAGGGGTGAAAGTGGTGAGGACTGAGGAACGCAAACTACTTGATCTAATACCTTTTGCTAAAAGTATAACATATATTGCTAGTTTGTTTTTGAAAGATAGTAAATGCATTATTATACTTGAATTCTTTTGGCTGTAACCAAGGATTCTTTTCAAACAGTTAGACCTTAGTTGAATTTTGAGAGATTACTTTTATATAAATCCTATTTTTTATTTATGAATTATGAGTATGAGAAGCTAATGACAGTACACAGAGTTAATTTTGATAGGTGCAACAGTACCAAAACAGGGTTAGAATGGCAGTGTTATTAAAATATAGAAAAGATGACGTGGACAGATTTATTTTCCTTTTAGGATCATTATGACTTCATCAGCTGCAGGAATATATGGCAACTTTGGCCAGGCAAATTATAGTGCTGCAAAGCTGGGTCTTTTGGGGCTTGCAAATACTCTTGCGATTGAAGGCAGAAAGAACAACATTCACTGTAACACTATTGCTCCCAGTGCTGGGTCACGGATGACTGAGACTGTTCTGCCAGAAGGTAAGTTAGTGTAGATTTTTCAGTGCTGTTACAAATGTATGGAAAGACTTTTCTAAAGTATTTAATTTTTTGAATACTTAAAAAATGTTTTCTTTCCAATTTCAACAGCATTTTGTGTAATTTGTGTTCATTGTTGAAAAATTTAAGTAGATAAAAGATTACCTGTAATTGTACCATACTGAAGCTGCCCCCCTCCCCCCATGGTACAGAGAATCTTTGCACTGAGCTACATCCACATCCCCAGCCCTTTTTAAATTTTGAGAAGGGTCTTATTTGAGTCGCTAAGTTCCCCAGGCTGGGTTCAAACTTAGAATCTTCCTGTTTCAGCCTTCCAGTCATCCTCTTTCTTTGCACAGACAGATACAATACATGTTTTGTTTTTTTTTTGGTACCAGGGATTGAACTTGGGACCTTGCACTTGCGATGCAGGTGGCAGAACCACTGAGCTAAATTCCCGGCCTTACATGTTCTTTTTTAAGTAAGATGAGGTAATAACATTCTTACTGTTTTATAATATTATTTACAAATCATATATTTTTTTTTAGAGCAGTTTTTGCTTTACAGAAAAATTAGAGTTTTTGTTACTCTATGTCCATGCCAGCATTTGTTGTCATGCTTTTAAATTTTAATCTTTCTAATAGATGTGTAGTGCTGTCTTGTTTTAACTTGGAACTCCCAAATAACGTACAGTGCTGGGCACTTTTGCTGTGCTTGTTTTTCATTTATTTATCTTCTTTGGATCTATTCAGGTCTTTCGCTCACTTTTAAATTGGGCTGTTTTTTTTGAGTTTTAATGTTTTCTTCTTTTTTATATTTTGGAATAAGTTCTTTATTAGATAATGTGTTTTGCATATTTTTTTCCCCAGTCTGTACTTGTCTTTCTATTCTTTTAATCGGCTTCACTTTTTAAAGTATCAGTGTTTATTGATAGATACAAGTCGATAAAATCAGGGCATGAACATGACCTGATAAGTTAAATAGACTTAATTTCAATACTATACTAATAGGCACCAATTCAGATTCTCACCACTTGTTTCACACCCACAAAAACCTCTTGAAGGCATTAACAGTCTCTCAGAACTGATCAGTTTGTACAAGTAAACCATGTTCCTTTTTTTTTTTGGTACTGGAGATCGAACTCGGGACCTTGTGCTTTGAAGACAAGGGACAGAACCACTGAGCTAAATCCCCAGCCCAACCACATTCCTTTTAAAATGACTTGTGTACTTGCTTGGGCTGAAGGATGTTAAAATCTGGCACATAAATTGACTTTTGAAGGATAACTTCACTTTAAATATTTTACTTCATGTCCAACTTGATTCGTGGTTTCTGAAGCAGTCTGACAGCACCCTCACACTCATTGCTGTAGGTGCAGTGTTTTTCCCCTCTGGCTTCTCTCAAGGTTTTCTCCATGTATTTGGTTTTCTGCCATTGGAATATAAAATGCGTAGGTAGAGATTTTTGGTGTTTATATCACTTGGTGTTTTCTCAGCTTCCTGGATCTATGCTTTGGTATCTCATTAATTTTGGAAAGTTCTCAGCCACCATTACTTTAAATATTTCTTCACCTTGCTTTCCTTTTTCTTCCCATTGCACACATAGGACAACTTTGTAATTATAGTTCTTAAATATTCTGTTCTACTTTTCTCTGCCTTTCAGTTTGGGAAGTTTCTAATTATGTATTGTCAAGCTCAGTGATTCTGTATTTCTTTTATAGTGGTTTTGGTTCCTAGCAATTTTCTTTTGATTGTTTGAGTTTCATTTCTCTGCTTATAGCATCTGGCTGTTCTTGTGTGTTGACCACTTTCTCCCTTAGAGCCCTTAGCATATTAATTATAGTTACATTAAATTCCCAGCCTGATAACTCCCATATTTCTGTCATTTTTGAATTTGGTCTGATTCATGTCTGAATTTGGTTTGCTTTGCCTCTTCAAGGTTATGCCTTTTCTTGCCTTTCAGCATGACTTGAAATTTTTTGTTGAAAGCTGTACATGATGTATTAGGTAGTAAGAATTCAGATAAATATGCCTTTAGTGTGAGGTTGTATGTTTATCTCATTAGGAATTTGGCTGTATTTGTTAGTTGCTTTAACTTGTAAATACCAGAAGTTTCAGTTTCCTTTCTGTTTTTATATCCCGTTATTTTAGGTTTCCCTAGAAGCTCCTTGTTAAGTAGAATTTGTGTCTTGAAATTCTTTCAGCTGTAATCCACTGTTATGGACTATGGTGGAGCCCTATTGATGTGACTGTGAAATTTTGGGGAGGAAAAGTGTTCTATAATTTTATGGCTAACTCACCTTTTCTTAAATGGGTCACAGTCCTGTGCTGGGACCTTCAGAAAAGATTCTTACCTTTTCCCCCTTTCTTTCTTTTATTTGAGATAGGAAGACTGGAGGGGCTTCAGTTGTCTGATTGTTCTTCTCCTAGCTCACTTGAGGGTCTGGTAATTTCTCCTGTGGACAGGACTTTGTTAAATAGAACAGAATGCTCTGGGCACATTTCATAGTGGTTTATTTTCCTGTGCTCCTGTCCAAAGCTTGAGAAGACTTCTCTCTGATCTTCATTATGACAATCTGGTGGAGCTTTTGGAAATAAAACTGACAAAAGTATCAGAGCCTCTCTAAGTCAGGGCTCCCTAAGATCAAGTTAATCCACATCCCGCCTCTAGCAATTTGTCAGTTACCGTTGAAATACTCTTATTGGCTTAGGCTATGAGGTTTCTTTCTCAGTAAGCCATGATTTTCTGAATTTGCATTTCTCCAGTTTTCCAGATGGTTGTTTACCTCATGACTTCAGTTCTCTGGTAGAGCTGTGCAAAGTTGTTGATTTTTAACTTGTTGATTTTTAACTTGTTTGTTTTTTTTACTTGGTTTGAGGATGGAAGTGATAATTAAAAAGTTTTATATGTTAGGTTAGAAACTGGAAGTCTGTTTTTTCCCTTACTATATCATGAACACGTTCTAATTTAATAAATGTCTAGATTTTTTTTAATAGTTGCATTGTCTTTTATCTTGTTCATGTTCCATAATAAATACTTTGTGATTATACTTCTTTTTTGGTAGTGGGATCAAATGCAGGGCCTCAGGGACATTAGGCAAACCACGCTGAACTACATCAGCCCTACACTGATTTTTTAAAAAAACTTCTTTATGTAACTTTCCAAAGTATATTAAGAGTGCCCATCGTCAGCTCCAGCAAATGATTAACAATTAGACAATTTTGTTTGTTTGGGTCACCTTATTTTTTCCTGAAGTATTTCAAAGCAAATTTTAGACATTGTATTATACCTAATAAAGACTTGGGAATGTATCTCTTAATAGATACAGACCTTATAACCACAATACCATTATCAAATCAAACAAAATAATGTTAAATGACCTAATAACAAATTTGTATTAGATTATCTAATTTTCTTTCTTTCTTTCTTTCTTTTTTTTTTTTTTTTTTGGTACCAGGGATTGAACTGGGGACCTTGCGCTTGCGAGGCAGCCGGTGGCACCACTGAGCTAAATCCCTGGCCTTAGTTTTCTTAATATCTTTTTAGAGTTGGTGAATTATACTTAGGATATAGGCATTTTGTTATTATGTTTCATAACTGTCTTTTAATACGTAACAGTTCATCTTTTTTTTTTTAAAGCTGTTTATTTTTTGAAGAAAGTATTTTATTTGTCTTACAGACTATTTCTCTTTCTCAGTTTGAGTTGCCTTTGCCCTTTTGTACAAAATTAGATGATGACCTATGTGTGGCTGTTTCTGGACTCTCCATTCTATTCTAGTGATGTGTGTACCTGTTCTTTAACCAGTGTAATGATGCTTCAACTGCTGAAATTTTACAATAAGTCTTGAAATTGATAGTAAGAGTTTTCCAACTTTTTGAAAATATTGATTAAAACTTTAAATGTGTGATTGAGAGCCTATGCTTATTTATTTAGGTATATTCATTTTAGAACTTGGAATTTTATTTTCTGAGTGAATAGTTTTTTATACAATATATTTTAAATCACAAATGTCTATTTCATGTAGTGTAAATTTGTTGTTTCTTTTGACTTCTACTCATGGTGTTGGTCTTCATGGGTGCTTGGTGATTTTTAATCATGAACTCTCCTTGATCTTCTTCTTTGTTTGTTCTGTATTTTAAATTGGCAGTGTTTTCTTCAGAGAGAATTTGTCTTTGCTAATGCTGGTAACCAGGAGGCATAATCAGCTTGTTGGTCTATTTTGATACTCCTTGAAAGATGAAGTTCAGTGTAGAAGATTTTAGGCTAGGGACCCCACTTTGATGTTGGCCTGCCTCTTAGATATTTTATTGGTATCTGTTTCAAGTCAACCCTGCCTTCCCTGGAGTATGGTGGTAAGACTTTTTTGTTTCGTTTTGACCAAGAATTCTTCCTCTATTTCAGCAAGGCTTAAAGCAGTCTCATTTCTGGCAGTAGAACAGAGTGTCTGTCAGAGTTCTGGGCTCGATGTGATGCTAGATAATTGTGATATCTGATATTATGGAAGAAACACTAGGTTGAGTAAATAAGCCTCAATTCAGATTTTGATTTCATATATCTTCCTAGCTATACAACCTCCTAGACATTTTATTTGTCCTTCTGAGCCTTAGTTTTTTGTTTATAAAATTAAGTGTAATAGATGCTGTCCGACCTAGCAGTTTGAGAATGAACTGGAAAGCTTATAAAATTAGTAATAATGTGTGAAATAAGGTAAAAAGCAGAAGTGATTTTCCTATGTGGCTTTTGTTCTTCTTTTTTCTCATTTATAATAATGGATACCCAGTTGGATTTTATAAATGTATTTATTTTGCATTCAAAATGAAGTTGGTCAACTCACATATCTAAATCCATGCATATAATTATTCTTTAACATTCAGTTCTGAAAATTGGTATGTGGGAAATTGGAGGACAATTATATATTGAGATGAATCTTATAAAGACTAAGAATTTGTCATATGGTATGATTTGTGATGCTTAGAACCTTCCTTTGGTTTTCCTCATACAGGGAGTGGAGAGTGGGAAGTTGTGTGCCATTGGATTGCTCATGTACCTGAGAGCTTTTAGAGGCTAAGTGAAGATTTTGGAGCTGCTTTTTAATTATGGGACTATAAATCTCTGTTACTTTAGCATATTTCATCATATCACAATTAAATGTTTACTTTTTTTATTCCTTAGATAAGATTATAAAGTGTTATAAGGTATATTAGCTGTTATAAAATGCTATACAATTGTATCTCATTTGAGCCTTGGAACAACTTGATGAAATAGGTGGGGAAAGCCTTTTAACTACCAGCTTATTGATGAAAACTGAAGTCCAGGGCAGGTAAATTATGTGTTCAAGTTCCTGGTTGCCTACACAGCACGGCAGCACTAAAATCCAGGTCTTCATGTTCTTGTGTAGTGCCTTCCTGCTCTACGTACCCAATTGTGATTGGGGTAAGTGATTGTGATTGAGGTATGCAACGGCAAAGTAGTTCTTAAACTTTGTTATTCATGATGGTTTAGGTGTATCTCAACCATTATCCGCCATTGCAGTTGTCACAGATGTTTTGTAGTTTTCTAGAATCTCATTAAATAGCTAGGAGAGTAATAGTTTTGGGAATGAATGGTACCTCAGTTTCTCAAACAGTTTTGCTCACCAGTCTTTACCTAGGCAGCTATAACTCTTATTTGTTATGAATAATGTTAGCTATTGTGGTAACAACAGTAAATCTGGTGCCTACAGTTTTAGAAGCTTCAGTTGTGATGAAAAAAACTTTTGAAAACTTTGAATATTAGACTACTTATGTGTATGTAATTTTGTTCTTATTTAAAAAGTATCTTGATTACCAATATAAGTAAATTTTCAGAAAGTAAAATGAGGAAATGTGTATATATTCTTATTTTCTTTTGTATTTCTTTCAGATCTTGTTCAAGCCCTAAAGCCAGAGTATGTGGCACCCCTGGTCCTTTGGCTTTGTCATGAGAGTTGTGAGGAAAATGGTGGCTTGTTTGAGGTATTCTGAAGTTTCCTTATTTTCTTCTAAACAGTATTTATGTAATTAAGTATTAAAAATGGTTTTAAAATTGATATTTTCCAAATGCTTACATTTGTAAAAATCTGTACCAGTTGTCATCCCTTGTATATTTTTATTTATTTACTTATTTATTTTTGGTACAGGAGATCAAACTCAGGACCTTGTGCTTGCAAGGCAGGTAGCTGCACCACTGAGCTAAATCCCTGGCCCACTTGTATATTAAAAAATATTATGTATGTGTTATTATTAAGGAACAAATGTAGACTAGTCACCTTTTTGAGAAAGTTAACAGCAGGTTTATAAATTGTTTTTCCTTAGTTTTCCACTTCTAATATTATTACCAAATGAAAATATAGCTGATTTAATGTATTTATGGAAATACAGAAAGGCTCATTAATTTAAGAAGCTGAATGATGAAGTGGAAAGAAGAGCTTAAGGTTTAGAGTCAGCTAGGTTACACTTTGAATTCTTTTGGTAATTCTGTCTTGCTGGGTGCCTATATAAATTAATGTTCCTTTCTTGGGCTTTGTTGTGACAGCTACAAATTGTATAGGGCCAAGTATATAGCAGTCTTTCTGCAATGTTAATTATCAGTAGAGCAGGAATTTAGTCTGGGTCTGAGAGACCAATAAACATAACTTATTATTTTAACTTTAGTAGTAAACTTTTCTACTTTTTCATATTACATGTCTTTAAATGTTTATGGTGAAAATAAAAATCGCATATAATCCCACCACCCAGTGAGAGCCACTGTTTATGGTGAAAGTCCTTAAAAGTGTATGTGTGTGTGTATATACACAAACACACATGTATGTATGTATACAATTACATATATATACATACACTCACATATATATAAACACACACACATATATATACACTTATTTGAGTTTGATATCTTTTTCTGGTCTGAAGTTTGTATATTAGAGGGTTCTCCTCCTTTTTTTTATACTCTGTGGCAGTGGTGGCCACATGGTGCATGTGCTGTGGCAGCCTGTTTGTTATCATTGAAAGCTCTAAAAGGTTTGTTGTCACCAGTTAATGGTAATAACGAACCTGCTCTATACTGATACCGTGGCATCCAAAATATTCCTTGGAAGCCAAAGGACCTGGTTCAGTTTGAAGTGAATAACATATCATTAGCCTGTTAACATTTTAACACAAAGCTGATGAGTAAATTAAAGAATAAAAAAGCAGTCTCCATATGTCTAACGTGGTTCCACCTTTCTAATCATACCCACTGGATTCGAGTTGCAGAAATTAAAAGAAAAAACTTATAAACTCTAATTTTACAGAATAAGAAAATTTAATATCAAACCATCTCAAGTTTAAAACTTGGCCTGACACTCTTTTACCTAATTAAAGAACTAAAATTATTTATGTTTTATAATTATATTAACTGTGAACAAAAATGTGTCCTACTTATGAAAATTTCAAATATCTGAGAACACAGAAGAAAATAAAAATGACACACATTATCACCATCCAGAGAGAACTGCCATTAATATTTTTATGTATTTCCTTCCAATCTTTTATTAGATGTGAATTTTACACCAATAATTTTTTTAGATGTGCATTTTACACACACACCCCAATCATATAAATTAGGATCATACTGCAGATAAAGTTTTATGTTGCTATTTTTTTTACTATATTATGAACATTTTTAGTGAGTATTGCATACATAATTGATAAAATATAGTAAGAGATGTGTGGAATATCCTGACTTAAACCTTAAAAGTGAGTAAACTGCCACTTTATTTGCAAAGTTCCAGTAGATACCTAGAGCGGCAGATCCAGACTCTGGTTCAGGTGAACGGTTGTTTTTATCACCTGAGAAAAATCTGTTGCTTTTTAACTTTGCTTGTGAAATATGGTAAAAGGTGATGAAAAGTTTGCCTGTTATCTCACCTGCTGCTGATTTATCTATTACAATGTCATCAGTGCAGACTGGGTGCCTTACACAGGTGTGGGCATAGTAATACAAAGGCAGGAGATGATGAGAAGTCCCACTCTTGTGCTTGGAGCCACAGTGTCTGCTGTCTGCTGATGTGAAGACACAATGAGGAGATTTTCTTTACACAGACATTTTTATCCTTAGGACTTTCCTGAGTTACCTCTAAAAAATTGTAGAAATGAAAGATTTATCTTTCTGTGTGGCTGTGAGTATTTGAGCATTTTACTTCTGTCTGTATAAGGTTGTTTTAGTAAAACGAGTATGTGTAGTTCATTAAGTCAAATACTTTATTTGGCTTTATATTTAAAAAATTCACTAATTCTTTCTTCAGGGACATTTATTTCAAGCCTATAATTGTGTACTATTTATATTATTTAAACTTCATGATAATCCATGAAATATGTATTGTTATCCTTATTTTACATACAAGAAAACTTGGATTTAGGTTGGTTAAATGATTTGGGAAGGTTTCAGAAGAAGAGCTGGTGTCTTGGTCTCTGGCGTTAGGTTCATTGTTTTTTACTACATGCATTTATTTCTACTACATTGTGTTGCTTTAGGTTTCTACTCTTATAACATGAATGCTACAAAGTCATGGGTCCGAAGGGCATTTGTAGAACCATATATTACTTTTATTCATTATCATCTAGCATCTAATACTCCTAGGATGGTAGTTGCCTTTTTAAACAATTCTGTTAGTGATTTTATATTAGATGATACAGTGTTTTACTCTTCTCTTTTCTAGGTTGGAGGAGGATGGATTGGAAAATGTAAGTCTCTCATTTTTTGGTTGTCATGTGTTATTTCCATATTTTTAAACCTGCATATCCATTAGAGCTGGTAATAAGAATTTTGTGAAATGTCTGATCTAGTGCATGCATTTCGGACTTTAACATTGTTATAACAACAGTATTTTTGTAGGCCAGAGATTCTTGGAAGAACCTATCTATACTCCCTATAGGTAGTCCTTCTTCAAGATTTGTTCTATCTTGGTCAGAACTGGATACTTTTTTCAGACAACATAGTCTCTCTATACGGATATTTATCCATCAATGTCTATGACATCCCACATATTTGTTCTTGATGTTTCACAGAGAATTGAGAGGGAGGAAGAACTGTTTTTGAAAAGATAAGTTTATTTTAGCTAGTAGCATGAGACATCCGGAGAAGGGAAAAATCACATTGGATAACTTTCTGGAACAGAAATTGCACCTGATTAATTGTGCCCTCTCCCCCTACCCCATAAATTCATTTGGCTTCAGTGTTCTGTTCCATTTCTCAGACTTTGGGAGCCTCAAATTTGATAAGAGCATTTTTAAAAATTGTAAAAATCCCAGTGCTCAAGTTGTTTTCAATTGACTGGCTGCTGGTATCAAAATTAATCACATATTTGAGTTATTTAGAAAGTTGCTATCACTGGAGGGGATTGTTACAACATATTGTGGAGTATCAGTATTTTTAGCAGTAATGGCTGTTTTCATGTTGTTACTGATTTATATTTCTCAAGCATTTGGTCATGTTATGATACCCATTTAAGAAAGAAAGATAAGTGTTGTAATCAAAGCTATATCTGGCAATTTATCAATAGGGAAGATGTAGAAGCAAGCATTTATGTCAATCACCGAGACAAATTTTAAATTTAACAATCATCATCAAAAAAAAAATTTAACAGTCATCAAAATCTGACCATTTTGTTTAAATAAGGTTAACTAGAGGTTATTCCTCTGGATTTTAAAAAAGAAAACACTTAAAAATTGTAATAGATTTTATTCAGCAGTATTGATCTGTGTAGCCTGTAGAAATGGAAGAAATAGGAAAGGAAGGATAGGGAGAATTACTTGTGGCTAACTGATTTATTAACTGGAATATTTGACCAGTTACCAGTACTAGTCCTGAGTTTGCTACCCAGCAAAGTTCTGTTCTGTTAATCTTCATTTTATAAACAAAGAGAGTGAAGTATCTTTACCTGTGTGATCTGTGGTTATGTGGAATGATTATTATAATATCATTTGGTATGATTATTATAGAATGTCAACTTTTCAGATTTAGCATATTTTTTCCTTTGTAGTGCCTGGCATAATAGGAGAAGTTTTCCCTCTCAGCTTCACATATATTTAAAAGTTTTTTTTTTTTTTTGAGGAAAATGATTTTTAGGCTATCATAAAACTCTTTAGAAGTTAGAATATCTTTTTCTAAATTTCCTTTTTCCTTTTTTTTTATTGGTACTGGGGATCGAACTTGGGACCTTGTGCTTGTGAGGCAGGCGACAGAACCACTGAGCTAAATCCCCAGCCAAAATTTCCTTTTTCTTGAAGTTAAAATTTTAAGGGGCTCTTTATATGTCTTGCTTTCTATCACCTTCAAACTCTGCTCAGTTTTTTGGTTTTGTTTCTGTAACTAGTACGCTGGGAGCGGACCCTGGGAGCTGTTGTCAGACAAAAGAACCAGTCAGTAACTCCTGAAGCAGTGAAGGCTAACTGGAAGAAGATCTGTGACTTTGATAATGCCAGCAAGCCTCAGAGTGTCCAAGGTAAAGAGTCTTGTAACTTCTCCTTGATTAAAAAACCAGAGGCAACAAACATTTTCTTCTCTCAGGGATGCTTCTCTGACCTTAACCATGGTGACTTTGACACTTAAATCACCTGTGGCACAGTCTTTGCTCTGCTAGATATTAGAACTCTTCATGTTTAAGATACTTTATTCCCACTATTTTCCAGGGTTTTTTTTAATAATCTTTTGTTTTGTTGTTTTGTTTATGTGTGGCCGAAGGATGGATGGTAGGAGGTATTTACTCATTTGTGTTAAATGTACTTATTCCCCAGTTGATGATTGTTTTTAAAATCATTTATGATCTAGCCATATGTTCCTTATCTGGCTCAGTTTTTCCTCTGTTTTTCTGATGTTTTATTTAAACCTGTTTAAGCTTAGATCTTTTCTGTCCAATGAATAGATGTGGCTTCATTTTAGGGCTTTGGTTTTGCTACTGTTTCTATGTCTTCTACCACAACTTTTCCTCCTTTACTCACCTGTGCATAATGTTATGCTTTGTTAGAAAAACTCAAACCTCAGATATTCTGGGCTACATCGATCTTTCTGTTAGCTGAATTTTGACTACTTGAACATCTAATAGTAACTGCCCTACCCTCCACCCCACCCCATGAATGTGTGGTTTCTTACCTGCTTGGTAAGTTTCTTTGGGGCAGAGATTGTACCTTATAGGTGATTTTTTTCTTATGTGCAGGGTATCAAACCCAGGGCTTTGTGTGTGGTAGGCAGGTACCCTGCCACTGAGCTGTACCTCTCAGTTGTATGTAATTCTTTTGTATTCAGTGTTAGCATAGTGCTGAACTCATAAAAGAGAGCTACCAGATGCCTGTTAGCTTGAATTATTTAATCACCTATGATGTGCCCACAGTAGTAGGTACCAAATAAAATTTACATTATTTTTCCCAGTATAATTCACATGTATGTTTGGTATATGAAGTTTAAAGAGTTTTCTGAGAAAGATCATGAATCAGTGTCATTTTAAAGAAAAACATTTTTTCTCTTAGTGATTTTATATTCAAAGTTTGATAGACTATATCAGAAAAATGACTTTTAGTTCATAAATGGTAGCATTCTTGTATTCTGTATTTTGGTATTTCAGATAAATCTGTGATTAACAGTCATTATCGATGAAAATGAAAGGGAAAATTTATTTAAAAACTTCAGATTTCTGCTTTAAAAACTATTTTTGCTTCTAAAGTATTATGAGTATTACCTAAAACCCTAATTGATGACTATTTGAAGTACAGTGAAAAACAAAATCAACAAAAGAACCCCACTTTACTATGAGTTGACTCTCTAGACCACGTAGTCCAGTGTTTTTATTTTACAGAAATAAATCACAGAAAAACTGAACTAGTCAGTGTTTGAGCAGAGAGCCAGTTCAGGTTGTCTCTCAGAGTGTAGTGCCGTGAGCCTGTGTCAAGGTGCCTTTCAGTCATGTAGCCTCCCCTCAAAACTGTGGCCTGAATGGGGAGGTAGGGAAAGAAACTGCTCCACTAGTGTCACCTGGCATGGCAGATATACTTGGTTACCTCAGACACTGCAGTTTAGTTTATGGTTTTTCTCTGGGTTCAGAAGGAAGTGCAATATCCCGAGGTTTGTTAGGAAGGTCCCAGAGCCTGCGGAACATCATAGGGCATACATGGATGCTCTGGCAGGCTCCTTTAGAAGCTTTAGACCCCGGAGCAGGAGCTTCAGTCCCTTTTGGAGGCCCTGTTTATGAGGATGATTTTTTTCCTTTTTGTCTCTAGACGAATTTTTTTTTTTTTTGGTACCAGGGATTGAACTCAGGGCGGACGGTAGAACCACTGAGCTAAATCCCCGGCCCTCTAGACGAATTTTTAGTGCTCTTTTTAGACCTTTTACTTATGTAGAGACCTGGGATAGAGGTAATTTTGGTATTGCTCCATATCTGTAAATAAGTATCCCACTTTACAGTGACAAAATAGCTCAAGATACTGAAAAGCTCAGAGCTCCCCGGAACCTGGGAGGGCTATATTAGCGCTTTGTTTTTCACTGAAGATAGCTAATTATTTTTGGTCTCTTCAGAGTTTTTTTCTACAAGAGCCTAACATCATACATTCAGTTTGTGAATGATGATGGAGGTTTTGTAGCAACTTTTACTTAGCATACTATAGTTTTTTAGTCACCTTTTAAGCAAAGCTTTTTTCCTTATTTTCCTGAATTTTAGAATCGACTGGCAGTATAATTGAAGTTTTACATAAATTGGATTCAGAAGAGGAAATTTCACCAAATCCCACCAGTCATGCAACATCTACAGCCTCACCAGGATTTGTAAGTGGGACAAAAAGGCCTTTGCTTTTGTCTTCTCTGGTGATTATTTTTCCTTCCTCCTCCTCTCTCTTTTGGATGCAGTCACTGTCTTTCAGTTTCTAATAATGGAGAGAAACAGGCACAAATAATTTGAAATAGAGAATTTGTTCAGAAATCATTTATGATTGACTTTAGAGTAAGGCCAGTTCTGACACACAGACCTGTAGAACAAGGCATATTCTGATAGACGACAGTTGAACCACATGAAGAGGTGGACTGGGTGATTGTACAGCAGTCTGCTTTTTGTTCAATTTCCCCCGTCCTTCTTTTCTTAGATTTCCCTGGACTATATTATGCTTTTCTTTCTCCTGATGGAGGACTCTCTTGAGAGATCAGGGCAATTGAGTACCAGTTTTCCAAGCTCTTCCTAGTGCAGTGATGGTGAACCTTTAGAGGAGTGCCCAGACTGCAACCCAAACCCATGTATTTATTGCAAAGTGCCAACATGGCAATTAAACTTGAATACTGAAGTTTTAGTTTAGGAAGAACAGCTCATACATTAACATCTTTTGTCTTAAAAGGAAAATAACACGTGTGCCATAGGTTTGCCACCACTGTTCTAGTGTGAGTGGGGTAGGAAAAAGGAAGCTCACCTACCCAGCTTCTTCTTTTGGCTTTTCTGGGTGATTGGAAACAGGTGCTGGAAGCTTATCTGAACTTTTCAGAAGGATTCTCTTCACTAACCTATATGTTTTGGTAGTTTCTTTCCTGCATTGCTGTTTGTCAGTTAACTTAGGGAGGTATGATATGGAAGGGGAAAAAGGAATTATGACTTGAGGTGAAGCTGTTATCTGGTCTTGGTATCTCTTTCTGCTTGCCTACCTGTCTCTTTCCATACATAATTTCCATTATGCCCATTGATACCTTGTTATCTCTTCAAGCCTAGCCATAAACTGATTAAAATAGGTCTGCTTTTTGTGAAAATCTGGCTGGGGGGCCGGTCAGGAGGGTGGGGGATGAACAGTGGTTCTGTGCTACAGTATTTTTGTTATTTTTTTTCTCCCTTATGCTACCAAACAGAAGACTTTGAAATGTACACAATTGTGAAACATTATTTTACATACAAAATGTTATTTTCTAAGCTGTTGACTTATTGATAATTGACCACAAAACTTTTCATAAAATATGTTCTAGACAGTGATAGAATGAATGAATATTAACTGAAGGTTAAGTGTAACTTTTATTTTCTCTTTGTCAGTATAGTTTGAGGAATACTTTTTCTTTGATAATCCTTTGATAATCCTAGTCACTATTTTCCTAACTTTTTAGAAAAGGATATTTATTTTAGTGACTCTCTAGGTTTCTTCTTTTTTTTTTGGTACCGGAGATTGAACTCGGGTCCTTGTGCTGGCGAGGCAAGAGGCAGAACCACTGAGCTAAATCCCTGGCCTAGGTTTATTCTTTTAAGGGAAAGTATTAACAGATTATATTTTGGAAATATTCAAGAAATTTCATCTAAGAAACTGGCTATGAGTTCCTTCACTGAGATATATACCTTGAACTGTTTTTCTTTTTTTTAACCACCTATTAAAATTGTGAAAACCTTTCTTAGGTTTTAGCCTTTATTTTCTGACTCCTGCTTTAGAATAAAAATGATTGAAAAATTGGACATTATTTTATAACAACATGCTTCACACTGTAGCTAGGCCTATCATCACTAAATTGGAAAATACAGCATTCAGTTAGAAAAAATATATTCCTGGGAAGAAATGTCAGGTTAAAGCTCATTTTAACTCAAACTGTTTTGAGGCAGTCTAATTTACAAGCATTAAACAATGTTTTACTTACCTGTTTACAGGGAATTTTATACAATTGATCTTACAAAGCAAGTCACTGTCCCTATTATAATAAATTCATTTCTTTATTTTTGTGTAACCATTATTTGTGAAGTTTAGTAGGGTTTTCTACTATGAGAGACAGGAAAATTAAAAATGAGACATCTGTTAGCTAGAGTTAAGCAGTAAAAGTACTTATCTGTAAATGAAAACCTTTTTTATATATTAACTAATTGACTTCTATTAAAAAAATCAAATATAAAGGAACTATCTCTGTCAAATTCACTGACTTTCTAGTCATGTCTTTTCAAAAGCAAAACTAGTTAAAATTTCAAAGATTTGATGAAAATATTAATGAAAAAATCATTTTTAAATTTTTTATCGGTACATGTTTGCAGTTCATGCAGTTTACAGTCATCTTGGGGAATGGGTACATGTACCTACCATCACTTTTTTTTTTAATCCCCCTCCTCAATTCCTCTATCCCATTTTTCATTCTTATTGATATTCTTAATTTTAACTCATGTTACAACATATAAGGTTTATATTAATTGAGTTTATTAGGTTCCTATATACAGCATATCATTATTCTGCTTATATCCCCTTCTCCTTCTCCTCACCCCTTGCACTTTTTCCCCTTCAATTACTACCCTATTGCAAGAGAATCATCTCCTTGTCCCCTTCTATCCATCCTTTGTTATTCTCTTTGTTTATACCTTGTTTCACTCAAATGAGAGATGCCATACAGTATTTAAGCTTTTGTGTCTGGTTTATTTCACTCAACATTATAATTTCCAGGTACATCCATTTTCCTACAAATGTCTCAAATCTGTCATTCTTTTTTTTTTTTGGTACTGGGGATTGAACTCGGGTCCTTGTGCCTGTGAAGCAGGTGGCAAAACCACTGAGCTAAATCCCTGGCCCAAATCTGTCATTCTTTATAGCAGCATAGTATTCAGTTATATAAAGATACCACATTTTCTTTATCCAGTCATCTATTGATGGGTATACAGTGTGTTTCCGGGATTTAGCTATTACAGGTTGTGCTGCTATAAACATTAGTGCATTAGTGTTCATGTATCACTGTAGTATGATAACTTAAGGTCTTCGGGAAGATACCTAGCCAGGGGGATGGCTGGGTCGTATGGAATTTCTAATTTCATTTCTTTGAGAAGTCTCCATACTGATTTCCATAACGGTTGTACTAGTTTACATTCCCAGCAACAACGAAGGGGAAGGTTGCTTTTCATTACAGACTCACCAGCATTTGTTATTGTTTGAAAAAATAATTTTTTTACAACTGTTCCATAGGCTAGCGCTATTGGCTATAAACTTCCTTCATATTTTTCTGCTTATACGGAACTGGACACTATTATGTATGCCCTTGGAGTGGGAGCATCATTGAAAGATCCAAAAGATTTGAAATTTCTCTATGAAGGAAGTTCTGATTTCTCCTGTTTGCCTACCTTTGGAGTTATCGTAGCTCAGAAATCTATGACCAGTGGAGGATTAGCAGAAATTCCTGGACTTCCAATCAACTTTGCAAAGGTATGCCTACTAAGAAATTTTCTTTTGCTTGTCTTCTGTTTCTTTAAATGTTATTGGTAAATGTCACATTTAAATGTTATATTGGTATATGTACACATATATTCAAATATGTACATATTATGTACAGTCCCCAAACCATGCATAAATAAATGTTATTCTCTTTCTGCTGTTTGACTAAATATAAATAACTTCTTTAGGTTTCAGTTTCTTTATTTATAAAAGAGATATGATAACCTAAGCTTATGTCATGATACTGATAAAGGAGAAAACCAAGTAATTATCTGGAGGAAAGAATATTTGGAGCACAGAGAACGGCTGTAATAAGACACACAGAGGTAGTTGCATACTTGACTTTATTTTGGAGCAGCATGGAGATCAGTACAACTACAGTGAGCAAAGGTCACTTTATTCAGGGCTGGTAGGAAAGGAAGACTTTGTAATCATTGTAAGGACTATAGCTTATACTCTGATTAACAGGGGAAGCCATTTGTCTGGCTGTATTCACTGATAGTTTCAGTCTTGCTGTGGTTTGGAGAAGACATGTGTAAGAGCCAAGCATAGAGTCTGTGGTAGTGATCCAAGCAAAAGTATTAGATACAAGGGGAAGGAAAAGAGGAGCCAAGAAGGGAGGTGTTTGTTCTGGACAACTGAAATTATATGTGTGTGTACATATATATACACAAAATATATAGTTATGTAATATATTTACTGTGTCCAGTAGTCATATGTTACTATAATATGATCATATACATGTAAAATTATTTGAAGGAGTTGGTTTTAGGTAAGTTTGAGATGCCTATTACCTAGTTCATTGGAGATGTTGAATATTAGTGCAGAGTTTGGGGGAAAGGTCTAAACAGGATTCTTAGCATATAGATGATGTTTAAAGACATGAGTAGATGAACAACACCTGGTGTGTGAGCAGAGTTAGAGAGGAGACCTGAGTTCAGAGGCCCTATAGTGTTTCGAGATTAAAGAGATGTAAAAGATGTAGCAAAAGAGACTTAAAGCATGGCCCATGGATATGAGGAATATATTGAGAATATTTGAGAAGTCAGTGAATAAAGTATTTCAAGAAGGAAGGAGTGAACAGTTTGTGAGAAAGTTTTTGAGGTAGTTTATATTTTAGTCCTTGAAGTAAAGCTCAGGTTGAGCCCAGAAATAGTTGTTGGATCATAAAGCTATAAGCAGATTTCTGTGATTTTGATTGATTGGATCAGTTTGCCCATTGTTAATGGCTATCCCTTCTTCAAGGATGGGAACTTACTTTCTTAGAGCATTTTATGAATTTAGGAGGAAGACTAGAAATATGTGCTGAGCTGTTTGCTATTTTAGTTACTATTCCATGTCATTTGTGGCACATTGTTCTGTTTGGATAATGTAAATGTAAAAAATTGAATATTTCACAATTTCCCCTCAGAGTTGGAAATCATCAATAGTGTTTATATTCTGTTACCAGTAATGATAGCAATCTTAGAATTTGAATGCCAGTCTTGTCAACCTTGAGTTTCCAAGCTGTATGACACAGTGAGGCAGGCACTCCTTCATTTATTTTCTCATCAATTTCTTTTCTATCTTTTTTTTTCTGAATTCTGAGGAAGACTGGGAGGTTATCCCACTGTAGTGGAGTACAGTCATCTGGTTGTGAAGGTCTCCTTTTTATTTTCTTGACCTATTTTTCCACATAAGTTGGTGTATTCTTTTTTTTTTTTAGTGTATTCTTGCTTTAATACATTGAAGAGGCTATTAAATTACAATGAAGTTACACTGTATCTTCGATATTTACTCTTTGTAAGTAATTATAATATATACAGTGTTGACATTGATAGTGCTTTCACTTTGAACATGGTTTTAAGGTTTACCTTTGTGTTTTTGTTGAGTCATTTCTATTTGGTATGTATGACCTGAACTTACCTTATTAGTTTGGCTCGTTTGTTCATTTTTATTCAGTGGATAATTATGTTTCAGGCACTGTCATAAGCACTGGGAGTACAGCCTACGTTTAGGGTCTTTTATTGGTAAATAGTCTGCATTTATCAGTCAACAAGGATTCATGAATGCCAAGAAAGAACACAAGTATATCTTTCTCGAAAGTATTGGCTGCCTTTAGACTAGGGAGCGGATTATTTCTGGATGACAGGATTAAGAAGTAGAAGCCAAGCTGAGATAGATAATATGGGAAAAGTAGTGTTGTGAGCATGTGAACAGTAAAATGTCATTTGTGATTAGCACTATCCGCAGGCAGAACCTGGGGACAAGAAAAGTTACTAATAAAATTTTGCTTATCCTAACATAGGTTCTTCATGGGGAACAATACTTGCAGATATATAAACTATTTCCTAGAGCAGGTAAGTACCTGGTACAGTAATCCCATAATATCACAATTTTATTTTCTGATTAACCCTCCACAGTCTGCCATGGTGTTAAACTGGTATAGAGTAGCCTGGTGAAATGTAGCAGAAGTAATTATGTGGCCACAAACCATTTGATTAGGTTGATTTTTAGCTAGTACCTGTTTTGGTTACCTTAGACAATACCATCAGTGTAATTCTATTAATATATGTGTCATTAGCAGCTGAAAGGGACACTGTGTGTGTGTGTGTGTGTGTTGTGTGTTAAACATAGTGATTGTGCTAACACTTGTGATTCCTATGATTATAGTTCTTCATTCTTTTTCTCAGGTATTTATCTTGATAATTATTTTCATAAAGTGAACAATATAAAAAGATACCAGACTTCTTGTAATTTTTCCCTTTTTTTAAAGAAGGTAAAAAGTCTGCATTGGTTCTCATCGTTTCTCAGTCTTGCTTGTTCACCAGATTTTAATTTGATATACAGTACTTTTTTTTTTTTTGGTCTGATGTCACAATGTTATCTGATATATTGGCCATATGAGGTGGTAAGAAAAAGGTATTTATCATTGCATATTGTGTAATCTACAAGTCAACAAATAGCTAGAGTTCTATTTTTTCTTAAGCCTTTATATTTAACTAAATTTTTTGAGTGTTTTATTGCTTTATTTCAGTATAAGTATTTCAGCATAAACTGCAGACAGCTTGTTTTATGTGAGACAGGGCTCAGTCTGTGGTGACTATATATTCATCGTGTATCTGCTGAATACTCACCATTTGCAAGACATAGTAGGTATTAGATATTTCTCAACCTGGATGCATATTAAAATTACCTGAATTATTACGTTATTTGTTATTTTTAGTAAAATATGTCATTAGTCACTGTCCCTCCCTAGGACAAAATATCTGATGTGCACAACTTAAAGGATGAGAGGTTTATTTGGGGTCACAGTTTCTAGTGGGTTCAGTCCAGAGCTGGTTGATGCCAAGGCAGAAGCAGCATGGTGGAAGGAATGGGAGAGGACACCCTGAGGCAGCCAGGAAGCAGAGAGGGAAGAGGAGCTGGGACAAAAATAAGCCCCCAGTGATCAGCCCCTTCCATCTGGGCCCCATCTCTGAACATGAGACTTCTGGAAGATATTTTAGATCTAAACCATGACGAATGGATTCTGGACCCCAACCTAGGAGATTTGTGTGTGTGTGTATATGTGTGTGTTTGTGTGTTTGTGCTTATGGGTGGTGGTAGTGTCAGTGGCGGGCAAGGTCCTTTCGTGTTTCATATACAACTAGCCTGACTGGTTTATTTGGCATCCATTGTTGGAAGTGAAACAATATATTAGAATGTATTAGATTCTGCTTTAGGGGTTTTTAAAATATGGAGCAATTAGACATACACTCCAAAATGATTAAAATGGTACAGTTATTTTTCTTAATGTCTTTTACCACCTTAGCCTCAAGTTATGTTTCTCATGAATTATTTTTAAATAGCACCTGTGTGTTTTCATTATGTAGTTGTAAAGTTTACTCTCATAAATGTGAATATCCAATTTTGAGATATGTGTGGTTTTTAAGTGCAGAAAACCAAAGGGTATATAGGTACTATACCCTTTATAATCTATCTATAAATTATACCAGTTGATAAGGCCTTGAGCACCAGCAGACTGATGCCAGCATCTTCTAATGGCTCTTTTGTGAGCTACAGTGGTACTATCGTAAGCTGACTTTCCCTCATCAGTAAAAAAATAACTACTAGATGGAGTGAAAGAAACCTACTAACAGCACAGTTTTTCTTCATGAACCAGAACATATTCTATTCAGGATGTTCTGTTCTCTAGATTTTCTGAGTTTGAGTTTGATTTATTATGTTGCTATATGATCTTTATTAGACTCATTTCTTTGTCAAGATAACTTAGTGCAAAATAATACATTATTTCATCTGGGAAGTGAATGTGACCATTAAAGACTAGTATATATAAAAGTGCTTTTGAACAGTTAAGCATTATGCAAATAGAATTACTGTGCCAGGTTTTCAAAGTAGACTTTTATAGAGCTGTGGCTTTGTTAGTGTAGGATCTAACCTTTTTCTCTTAAGTACTCATTTAGCTAGATTTTTACAAAATTACAGAATTAAATATAGAAAAACTAGAAACTACAGAAAAGTAGATTGTGAAAACAATTTGTCTGGAATTACTTATTTACTAAGTACCTATTATGTGTCAGGCATTTTGCTAAGGGTTGGCAATATGGGAAAGATAATATCCTTGGTTATGCAGCACTTAGAGTCTAAGAGACAGTGGGCAGTGATGAACATTGTATGATACTTTATAATGGAAGAAATGTAAGTGCACACAGGTACAAACAAAAGGTCTCTAACCTGGAATTGGATTTAGGGTTGGGGAAAACTTCTTGGTTGAAATAAACTCTAAGGCGAGAGCTGAGGGTTGAATTAAGATTTAACCATGGAGTAAAGAGCTTGAGGGAAAGGGGAGGTGGAGGAGTAGGGGAAAAGAAAGAAGGGAATAGAATTAATATGAGAAAAAGTAAAAATGGAAACAAAGTCTTTGTAGATAGGGAGGGATGGAGGGGTTGAAGGGAGGGCAGGGGAATGGGGAAAAAATAAGAACCAAGATGG